TCGTACTCATTATTAGAAGTGTCATTATTAGTACTACTATCACTATCGGCCATAGTATAAGCGGTTTTTTTTTTTTTAAAAAAAAAAAAAAAAAAGTGAAAATTAAAAGCGTCGATCTTTTACATTAAAGAACATTTTAGAAGTTTATTGAACCTTATTATTTTTATTTGTGGCAAAGATACATAAATATTGGTGTAGCGGTTATGTTTGTGTGCATTGTGCCACAAACATGGGGGGGGGTACATTTAGTAAATTTTAATAGTAGCATGAGATATCTGCCGGGAATCTGAAAATCAGGGCAAATTTGCTCCGAATACGGATTAAGGGATAGCTAAACTAAAAGCTATTATGGTCTGGTGCAAAAAGATTTGCACCTCAGGCCTTAAAATTAATTTTGTTTATATATAAAAATTTTTAAATTTTAATAATTTATTTATAATTTTTTTATACAAGATAGAGTCAGTTTTGAGCTATCTTTTGATATATTTTTTTATGACCTTTTATAAATATTTTTTTAAGTAAAAAATTTTTTAATAAATTCAATTTTTAAAAAAAAAATTAAAATTTTTTGATTTTAAGCATTTTCGCAGGCTATATACAATATTACAAGTTTATACTAAGCAAGTGCATAACCATACACATGCTAAATATACAGTTAAAATTTTAGTTTAATTGGATAAGTAGTTGTTGAAAAATTAATTTTTAAAGTTTAATAGTCAAGGTACTAAGTTATACAAATATTGTGTAAAATTATTATATAATTTTGCTCAATATTTGTATAACTTAGTAACTTGGCTATTAAACTTTAAAAATCAATTTTTCAACAACTACTTATCCAATTAAACTAAAATTTTAACTGTATATTTAGCATGTATATGGTTATGCACTTGCTTAGTATAAACTTGTAATATTGTATATAGCTTGCGAAAATGCTTAAAATCTAAATTTTCAAAAAATTTTAATTTTTTTTTTAAAAATTGAATTTATTAAAAAATTTTTTACTTAACAAAATATTTATAAAAAGTCATAAAAAAATATATCAAAAGATAGCTCAAAACTGATTCTATCTTGTATAAAAAAATTATAAATAAATTATTAAAATTTAAAAATTTTTATATATAAACAAATAAATTTTAAGGCCTGAGGTGCAAATCTTTTTGCACCTGACCATAAAAATTTTCTTATAAGTCTAATATCAATTTAAAAAATTTTACTACTGTATAAAAAATATATGATTTTAGATGTCCCCACTATATAATTATAATAAAAGACCTGTACCGGTATCAATTTCTAGATAAATAGTTATTGAGATATTTTCGTTCGAAGTTTGAAAATTGTTTCATAATGATCAACATACAAATAAATCAAATTTGGGTACTCAATACGTAATTCGAAAAATAGACTATAAATTAGAAGAAATTAAATAAAATAGAAAAATTAGACGTACTTCGTGCCATAGAAGGACCAATAAATAATGCGCAAATTAGTAAGCCATGCGCGCGTGATTAGTAGTAAGTTAATTAAAAGTCAAAATGGAGTGATTAGCGTTAGTGTTAGTAGAGTATAAATAGGGAAAAAGAAAGTAAGCAAGTGCTTTCTTGTAAATAATACACTTTGAACGTAGTATTGAGTTGCTTACCCAGAACGACTCTGGACGGTAGATACATATATTATTTTATTTGCTTGCTCCATCCATTAAGCTAGACATTAGCGTCGACTACTATTAACCTCTGCCACGACAACGGTACAGACTGACCCATTTATAAGCCAAGCGAAAAGAATTAATTAGTACATTTACTCTCTAAATAAATCGATTACCTAAAGAAAATACTCGCTTGTTACGTGCATCTGGTACCACGGTGGTCGTCGACTGTGAAGTGCTTACTGAGTTAGATTTTTCTAGAAATAAATTGAAAAAAATGAGTGAACGGCATAAGTCATTGGATAAAAGAGGATGGTTTCTCAATGATCTAAGTAAAAACTTCGAAAATAGGAGAAACTTCAAATCTTCTCTCTTCGAAGTTCAATTGTTTCTGCTGTTGTGTATACATTTTCACTTGTAATTGGGTGTTATCTTTTTACCCATGATAAAGAAAGTATAAAACAATTACCAGCAAAAATCACTTCACTTTCTATTCTGGGGACGGGGAGTCTTAGTACTTTTGTTGCAAGTCTAGTGGCACATATGAAACTTATTTCTGAAAAGAACAAAGATGTTGAAAAAGCAGTTGATGATGAAATCGTTAACACATCAAAAAAACATTGCCCTGAACAATTAGAATCACTAAAATTATCTTTATCATTTGTAAAAAAACTTAATAAGCACATAAAATCTATGATGATTAGACATATTACATTAATTTCTTTGATGTCAATATCTTTTTTGATTTTGACTATTATTGATATTGTTATTATTTTCTCTTATTCTGATATATATCTTTTTTATAATATAACTATCATTCTCATAAGCTATTCTGTTATTTGCTTATCATGGATCATTAGTAATTTTATTTGTATTAAACTTTTTATCCCCGTATTAGATAAGTTAATGTGTGCAGATAAAGAAAATAAGAGTAAAAATGAAAGTGCAAGCAAGGACCTTGAAATGTTGGTATGGATAATGATAAAAAATTTGAGAAAATATTTTGAGGATAAGATCAAAGATTCCGTGTATGAGGTGTATAAGGATAAGATAGTTTATGTTTATATCACTTTGCTACTTATGATAGGGTCAGCAAGTAAAATATCCAATGTGGCTAAAATCAAGAAAAAGTTGAAAGATAAAAATGACCTAAAATATATGAGAATTTTAGTGGAAATTATGGATGCTTACGTAAACGATTTCAAGGAATATTATGTCAATTCGGCCAATTCGGTCAATTCAGTGGTCATACCAAATATAATAGAAAAAATAAATGATATCAAACATTTTTTGGTTGGAAATTCATTAGAGAATCATTCAACTAACGTTAATTTAGAAAATATAAAGAATACGCTGAAAATACTAAATGAATTGAAGATTGAAAATTTTTTGATTAAACTCTTAAAACAAAGCTCACCAGTCTCACAAAGCTCTACTAATGCTGAGCTAAACAATTTGTGATTAAACTCTCACAACAAAACTCATCAGACTCACAAAACTCAACTAATGCTGAGCTAAAAAATTATTTGATTAAACTCTCACAACAAAACTCATCAGACTCACAAAGCTCTACTAATAACAATAAATGGGCTATGTTGTTTAAACTAATCTTTGAAAAGTCTGAGGATGATATAGCAATGAAGATGGAGGATGTATTAAAAAATACTGAGAATATTAAGGTGACTGTGGATGATATAGAAATGAAGATAGAAATGACGATGGAGGATGTATTAAAAAATATTGAGGATGCATTGAAGACGATCATGGATATGGAAAAGATAAATCAAAATGCTAAAGAGATGAATCAAAATGCTAATGATCAAACTATATTTGACTGTCATATATATCATTTAAATAATGAAATTAATGGATTAAGGAGAGATATAATGTCTTTGAAAGATATTATTATAAAGGAAAATTGGTTTAAAGACAAAATTCTTTTATACGAAATGTTTGAGAAATTGAAAGGGTTTAAAAAATTTTTGCTAGATGTCTTTATCATTATTTTTTTCTGTTCTCTTTTTTTAATTGGTTTGATTGATATTGATTGGGATAATTATCAAAAGCTGACTTCTAAAAAAGCTAATTTGACCTCAAAATGCACTTTGTATTGTCTTATTATTATTTTATTTCCTATCATTTTTTTTATTGATTTAATAATTACGCATGAGGTTTATAAAGAGTGTAAGCATAAGGGTATTTTTGCAGTTATATATAGTTTGCGTCTAAAGAGAATTGAAATGAATAGTAAAGAAAAAAAAATGATTATAGGCTTTTATAAACAGGGTAGTGGTGTTTAATATTATCTTACATTAAGATCTGATTCACAAAAAAATAAACGAATTGCGCTAGCAGCAAAAGATTTAAATATTCAAGTAGCAGAGCTTTTTTGTAATCATCAATTAAATTAAAAATGTTGAATTGTTTTATAATTCAATTCCCAGATTATTTACACAGGTGTGGCAGTGTAACTTCAGATACACAACGACTCTACAAATAGCTCCAATGCTATTTTTTTTCTTGACAGCTCTTCAATGATAGAAAATTCAAACTGTCTGCCTTTAAAGGCAGGATTAATAACAAAAGTTGTATTAGGATTCATTTTTTTAACGTTAAATTTAAAATTTTAAACATTTTACTTAGCTATTAAATATTAATTCACTCTCCATTTGAACTAAAACATTTTAAGGGTATTGAAATTTTTATTTGTTCATTAATTAGACATGTAGAAATTACTCCCGCTAATCTGAGATTCAAAAAATTGGGGTAGAGGGATGGTGCTTAATTTCGGAACCATATGGTAAAATAAATACATGCGCTTTATAAAACACAACGCGTTTTTTTTTGCAATTAGATTGAAATGATATATGCATAGTATAAAAAAATTGACAGGCTGCCGAAAAAAAAAAATTTTTGGAGTGCATTTTTTAGGGTTAGAGGTTAAGGTTTGAGGTTAGTTTTAGAGTAGAGTTTATATTAAACAAGTATAAATGGGTTTTAGAGGGTTAAATAGAATCCCTCACTATGATCTGCGACAATTCCGGTTTTATACAATAGTATTAGCGTTAGATGGTAAGCACAAAAGCGCCTATTCATTTAAAATCTAAAATTTATAATTATCTATTCCTAATAATACATCTTCAATAATCTTATGTTTTAGAACGTAAATATGAATTATTTTTAAGGCTAAAGTTTTAATACTTCTCACATTAACTATATATGTACTTTAATTTATTAGCCGGTGAATATAAGTTTTTTTTTTTACCCGTAAGTCGTTCCTAATAATATATTTCTGATTAATCACTATCGCTATATTTATGTATTCTGATTTATCAGAACGTAAGTATAAAGTTTTTAATATTAAATCCTAAATAACACTTCTATAATAAATTTCTTATTAATTTCATACTACGTAAATGATTAGCTGGTAAGCATAAAGCTTCCTCTGTTTATTTTTAAAATCAAGGTTTTATGATAATTTATATATTCTAATTTATTAGGTGGTTAGTATAGTCAAATATTTGGATTACTGATTCATTTTTAAGCACTTAACCAATTAACTTTATGCAAAATTATTATTAGCTGGTGGGTATAAAAACCACTTATTAACTTACCGTTACATAAATAATACATATTAAAAAATTATAAGTTATACCAAATTATTAGTTGGTAAGTATAATCATTACCCTATTCATTTTTGAGGTCAAAGCTTCGTGATAAGTTATTCCTAAATAACACTTCTCTACTTAATCACTTATTAATCATATATTCTTTGTTTGATTAGGCTGTAAGTTTAATACGATAGACATTTTCATTCCTAAATAATACTTCTTATTAATTATATACTAAATTATTAGTTAGTAAGTATAAGTGCTATCTATTCATTTTTAGGTCAAAGTTTCGTGATAATCCATTATCAAATAATAACTATAATTTATTATATAATATCCTAAATTATTAGTTGGCAAGTATAAGCTTATTTTAAAATCGAAATACGGTGATATCATACTTATATAATCTATTTTTCATTAATTGGATACTAAATTTTAGTGGGTATGTATAAAATCAAAGTTGTTAATCTTATTTCCTAATTAATTTATTATTTGTCCACTTCTAAACAACGTTTCTCATAATTTCCTGTCACTTTCCATCCTCGTTAAATTATTAGACGGTGAGTAATCTGCGTATTTTAATATTATTGAAACATGCGAACCAAGCCGGCTCATTTTGAATGTTACTAGCTTGGTTTGTTAAAATCGATAATTTATCATAAATAATATTTATCTAATTAATTCCTTAATCAATTTTCTATCAATTCATCCTTGCTAATTATTAGCCCGTGAGTATAGGCATCACATACTTATTTTTGAAATCAATGATTTAGTATTTTTCTAAACAGTTCCCTATTAATTATATGTTCTTACTTATTAGCCGAAATGAGTGAGTATGATTATACGATTTGAAATCAAATCAATTTCACATATATTCTTATTTATTATTACATTTCCGTTTCTATATTTATTAGTTAGTAAGTATGGGTTTATTTTAAGTCGAAATATAAGAAGTGACAATTCATTCCTAAATAATACTTTTCTAATCGTTTTTCGTTAATTACATACTAAATTTTTAGCATGTGAGTATAGAAATGCTAATTTGTTCATGGTTTAAAACCAAAGTTTGTAATAACCTATCCCTATTCTGAATATAACAAACTCTTAGCTGGTGAGTGTAAACGCGTTACCCTATTCATGTTTTAAATCTAGTCAATTTTTTATTGACTATATACTAAATTTTTAGGCCGTAAGTGTAAAAACATTATCCTATTCTTGTTTTAAATCGAAGTTTCATGATAATCCACTTATAAATCATATGCTTCTCTAATTAATATACTAAATATTAGCCGGTAAGCATAGAAGCACAATCTATTCATTTTTCAAATAGAAGTTTCGTGATAATTCTTTTCTAGACATTTTCCTAATCAATTTTTTTATGCTCTTATTTATTAGGTGGTGAGTATAAGTATATTGTGGTACTTTTTTGAAATGACATTTTCATCCACTCCTTTATAATCTTTCTCTAATCAATTTCTTATTACGTATATGCCAAATTATTAGACAGTAAGTTTAAGCATTATCTTACTCATTTCTTAAGTAATAACACTAAATAATTTCTCTTAATAATGTAGCCGGTATAGTTAATTTAATCTATTCGTGTTTGCATTCTTAAATAATAACTCTAATTAATTATACACTAAATTATCAGCGAGTAAGTATAAGCGTCACACCATACATTTTTCGAGGACAAAGTTTTGTGATAATCTATTATTGAGTAATAAATCTCTAATTAATTATATACTAATTTATTAGAGAGTAAGTGTATGCTTATTTTAAAATCGAAATATGTAGTAACTCATTTCTAAATAAGTACATACTAAATTTTTAGCTCGTGAGTATAAAGGGTTACTCTATTCATGATTTAAAATCAAAGTTTTATTTATTCACTATAAACAATACTTACCTAATTAATTTCCTATCAATTTCGACCCTGCAAAATTATTAGCCGGTGGGTAAAAACCATAACATACTTGGCTTTGAAATCGGTGGTTTATTCATAAATAATATTTATCTAATCAATTCCCTATTATTTTATCAGGCGGGATAAGTGAGTATGAGTACACTAATACAATCCCAAATAATATTTCTAACTAATCACTCGTCCTTGTTTATTAGTTGGTATGTATAAGCATCACCCTAATCATTTTTTGAAATTAAACGTCGCAATATTTTATTAATAAATAATACTTTTAATTAATTATATGATTTTATTTATTAGTTAGTAAGTACAGCACAAGTTTACTTTAAATCGAATTCTATGATACGTAATAATGCTTCACGATCGATTTCTTACTTAAAACATATATTCTGATTTATTAGCGGGTGAGTATAGTTGGTTTCAAAGTCTAAGTTTCATGATATGCCGTTTCTTTTTTATTAATAATAACTTGTATTTTAATTTATTAGACAGTGAGTATTAATCTACTATAAGTTGAAGTTTCATGGAGATTCATTTTTGAAATTCAATATATTTTCTCTAATTGATAAATATACATTCTAACTTATTAGACCGCAGACCTTGCTAAGTTGTAAGTATAAATTTAAGCCACATAATAACACATTTTCAGATGGCACTCCTCACACCATAAAATAATAACAAACTATCATCGGTGAGCATAAATTTTATTATGTTTACTTTTATATTGGAATTTTGTGATAACGGTATATTTCTCTAAGAAATATATTTTTTTAGATGTTTTATTTACTATTAGGGTTGCTGCGATTAATCCAACAAAAGCCAACAAAAGCTTATGTGGTCGTGCCGATTTAAAATGGTAATAATGCATATCATATTTGTCTCGTAGGGCTTTTAGTGTCTTATCTCGATAAATTAATTTCCTAAAGTTTTATGATTTTTCTCTGCACAGAAATTTATGCCGCATTTAAATAATGTTGTTCATGTTTATAAATGTTCATGTTTATAAATAAAGTGATCTTGTCCATGTAGTAAAATATTTATTTACTTCAATAAAGTATAACTAACCGCTATGTAATAATAGCTATACGGATTAATAAAGATCTGGATATAAAATATAAAATTTGTTCCACTGTCCTGTATTTGACGACTTGAAAAATGAATTCGAAAATTCTCAGAAACTTGAAGATCGATTTTCCGGAAAGATTAGTAATAATGAAGCTTTTGAAAACAAATTATATGGTGTAAACATCAATCTTTATCACTAAAATAAAACTCAAATAAATTTAGCCATTAAATAATAACTACCTAGATTCACGCCATTTTTGGTATATAACACAGTGTTATTTCTAAAGTTTAAAAGGCATCCGACAGTATCGCCAGTTTCAAATCCAGGCCCATATGGTTCTTCGATTTATTTAGTTCAGCTGATTTTGTGCAAAATCCGATTGCAATAATTCTTCAAAAGATGTAAAAATTATAAGGAAATGTTATTTAAAGTTAACAGATGTTTTGCATCTTACCCATTTCCTTCATTATTT